AGAGAGAGAGAGAGAGAGAGATTCAGGTAGTTTACTAAGCTCCCCACACAAAGTTTAGTGATGTCAGATCAAATGATCGGGGGATGGTACTTACTCCTTCACGTTCAATTCATCAAAATATCTAGCCAAGTTTGAGTAGTTCTGCCATAATGATCTGTGGACACCCATCGAGTTGAAACCACATATCAATTCGTTGTTGCCGGTGAATGTCTATTAAATAATCAAAGAAGTCAGTCTCTAAAAAATTTGTATATCTGGATGTATTTAATCTGTCGGGTAAAAAAATGGTTTCACTATAGAATCGTCCCAAATTCTCCGAGCCGAACGTTAGTAGTAAATTCATGCTGGAACTACATATTTTTCCTAACTGAGATAATAAATTCTGCACTTTTTGAATATGATACGGATGACAATTATCATCTTAAAGTTTAGTAGATTCTGTGTGCAATCGTAATACATTTAATGTTCTCCGAACGCTGATCTCAGTGCAGGATTGTTATCAAAATGGCACAGGACACGATTTTCTACCTGCATATTTGCTCGTAACGGATCTTGATGAATTGAAACTGAGCCGATCTCTTGCAGCACATTAAAAGCTGTGTAATAACTTGCCGATCTGGCACTCTTCTGTTTGGAAATCGGCGAGCGTACTCTCGCACCGCCTCTGTAGCATTACCGTCGCAGAAACCATGTTAGCGTATTCAACGTTAGAATGTGTACGCGACATATTGTGACAGGAATAATTCAAACGATACTTTTTGACAAGTTTACAGAAGTACTGATAAATTTATAGAAAAAAGGCAGAAACAAACAAAAATTGTTTTCACGTGAAAACGGAATTATTATTATTGTTGTTTTTGTGTACGATTTTAGCGACGATAATACTTTAAAGGTAGTGCAAGAACAAAGCAACTACAGACAACACACACATTTTGTTTTTTTTTGCGATTTTCTCCAACGAAGTTAAAACGAACATATCTTTACAGAACCTTTTAATTAGTTTATCGAGTCATGCTGTCGAAGTTTTGACTTTTAAATTCCGGACACCCTATATATTGTATTATATTATATTTAACAGGCAGTATAATAGAAAATTTTGTGATAACATATAGCGGAAAGGATATCATAACAATAATAATTAAGCGTAACAATTAGAAATAACTGAAATTATACAAAATTCGAGTAAATATGCATTTTTGCAGTAACAGAAAATATGTTTATTAATGTAAGATATAGAGTTTATCCAGTATTATATTAAAATACTGGATCATATTTGATACTTATTGCTGAAATTCTTTGTCAGACGTTTGATTATAATAAAATTAAATTAGTAAAATGTTAATTGTAATAATGCGGATTAGAATATGCAGTAATTAATAACAATTAACATAAGCAATTATAGAATAGCACAAAAGGAATAAATTAAAAACAACTTATGCCTGTTTCCACCAATGCAGATTAACTTTAATCTCGGTTTAACTTACTGTTCATCTTTTTCTAATTTTTAGAATTAGAAAAAGATGAAGAGCAAATTGAACCGAGATTAAAGTTAATCTGCATTGGTGGAATGGGCATTAGTAGTATATAACTGAGAAATACTAACAAAAAAATTAAGTGCATTTGAAAATACTGCTATTATCTATTTCAGTTTCTGTCTGAATAATGTTAATAATATCCGAAGTCAATGACACCAATACATTTATAACTGCTGCTGGTTAGTACAGTTCAAGACCCTGATATGTAATGCGATATATTTGAAACGTAAAAGAGATAAAACATTCGAACATTCTAAAGTCATCATGAATAGATATACAATCATATAGGCACATGTTCTAATTTTGTTAATTTATAGAAGAAGTTTCAATAAATTTAGAGGATATTTACATACTATCACATTTTATTTTATTTATTTTATCAGGAAACATTTTCAGAAATTAAATAACGATCAATTTTATATTATTTGCAATTTTACAAATTAATAATATTTAAAAATAAATGTATTGATAGCCGTTCTGTTATACTTAAATTAAGATACGAATTTTTCAACAATTTTAAATATATATTTTATAAAGTGTTAATTTTAACTTTAATAAACTGTAATTACGTTAATTAGAATTAAAGTTACACAATTTCTTATTTTATTATATTTTTATAATTATATATTTTATTTAAAATATTATTTTCCAAGAAAAAATATCTGCATTCTCTAATAAGATATATATATAAATTATTTGCAGTTTAATTCGAAAATAAATTGTTAAATAAAAAACCTAATGATATGTCCACAAACTATCGACCCGAAACTCTAACCGAACCTCGAACTGCGAGCATTTCAGTAAACATTTATATGCGATTCGATAAAAGTTAGTCGAAATGCTTCATATTTACATTTTTCAAAAAGTAAATTATTTAGAAAGCAAATTGTTTACAGATATTTTCAAAAAATTATACATTTTGAAAAAATCTAAGTAATCATAATTATTTGTGTTGACAATAACTGTTTATAACAACAGTTAATATAAGTATTAACTTTAAAAAAGGCTGCTTAAATCTCTTAAATTTCTAAATACAACGTATAAAAAGACATGTTATTTTTTTTATTTGTGTTTTTCAAGAAGAATAAAATCTGACAGTAATAGTCTCTTGCAAAAGATCTAAAATATAGTTTACGTATATTAAAATTATATATAATACATAATATCCTAAGTTACTAAAGCTTTTAATATATACAATTTTTTAAGAAAAGAATTTTTTACTGAAAGAAAAGACCAAGTACAAAAATTATTGGACACCCTATATGCAAATTAATTTAAATTTGCATATAAGGTGTCCTCTAATTGACACAACGTTTTTTTTTATGTATGTACTAAATTGAATTAGAAAGTCCTAACATCATTTTGCAATTTTCGCAATAATTAACGAGAAATTAATTGCCAAATAATCCGTCTAAATTTAAGGACGCAGCGAGATATGACTGCCTAGTAGTCATAATTTTGCTAGGCGTGCGAGGAATTGTTTACTACAAGCGGCAATGGGTGTGTTCAGCAGTACACCATAGTTTTAAACCGTTTTATTATTGCTGCTGAACGGTCTCTAACGTACTCAACGTCTCAATATGTTTACTCAGCGGTTGTCATGCCTTTCAACAAAGTATGCAAACTGAAAGCCACAGAACAAACTTTTGCATAATGCATAACGCATAGTGCATAAGAAAATCAACTAATTAAAGTTCCTCTTTTCCGTAAAAGGAAGGATTCTGATTGATTAATTTTGTTATGCACTAAGCGTTACGATCGAGTTATGTAAAAGTTTGTACAGGCCTTACAGTACGCTAAGTTTCAAACAAAACATGTTGATCAAAATGTAGTTGCCTCCAATGTGTCATTTTTCAAAACATCAGAGAATGTAACTCGTTATTTAAGAGTGTAGAATTTAAGAGGGCGGCAAGATGATACAAAGCATCTGACTCTCATATTACACCTTTCGAGTTTCCGTACGTGTTTCATTTTCTATTTCAACTCTATCACAATAAACTGTCATAAATTTTATAATTTTCGAAGATTAAAATATTAAAAAAAATCATTATATATCTCACTTTTTTGCACATTCATGTTTATTTACAATTTTTTCCACATTTTTACATATGTCTTCTTCATGTTCATGGAAAACTAATGAAAAAACTGTGAAACAGCCTGAAATCTATAGAAAAACATACATAATTCATTTACAGTAGAAGGTAAAAATTAATGACTTTTACAATCACTTATTATATATTTTTTAAGGATATCATTTCACGTTAATAATTCAATAATATTTTGTTTTTAGAATGTAATTTAATTGTACTATTGTCTTAGCTAATGGAAAAGTGCGTCAAATTTGTGCATAAATTTATGATACAGAAATTTAAAATTAAAATTTATAAAACATTTTTATGCAGTATCCAAATGTATTTTTGTTATAGACTTTTTGTCATTTAATACATCTTTTAGTTTAGTCTCAAATGTATGGATTCTCAATAAGTAGCCAAAAGAGTTCAACAACTGGTACTGTTGTTTGTAGAGTCCTCTGTCAACTGAGCCATTATCCTATTTCAATAATATTCGTAGAAAATGCACTCATTATTTAACTGAAACAAATAGTACTAATTGAACGCTAATGAAATGTCCAGATGTGTATTACAACAAGAAAAATGATTTGCTAACATAACAGATTTTATGCTATTATAATAAAATCTGTAGATGTGGACAGCAAAGAAATTCGTTTAGACTATTTAAAAGATATAATATAACTATAGATTATTTTGCTATAAGAACAAATAAATTTTTGTTTAATTAACTAACAAATAATTTATTTGAACTATACGTTCGAATCAAATTTGCTATTATAGCAAGACATGTTTGCTAAATTAATAATACATTTGGTTCTATGAGTGAAATAACTTTGTTATAAAAGAGACTTCGCTTTGTTAACAAAATAACGTTAAAGAAATATTTTAGAAAAAAAGCAAATAAACACTAATAAATATGTATACAACATAAGAAAAAAATTTCAATATCAATTTTTTATTAAATTTGTATTTAATAAGTATAAATCTAATAAAATGTTAATTTTCATTGACTCTTTTATAATATTTTCTGTGTTTTTGCTTCTCTCAAATAAAGAGAAATAAGTGCATAAATTAGATATTATAAATATTTTGAAATGTAAAGCAAATGTATAAAGATTAAATTTTTAGTATCTGAACATAATTGATAAAGTTTACAAAATATTCATCGTTAATAATTATATTTTATTTACAACAAAAAATGATTTTTTATACAAGTTAGATAGGAAATTAAAGAATAATATGAAAAATGATAAGAGATAATGAATCACAATAGATAATTTATTATAATTAAACTTGACACAATTTCAATAAAATAAAAATAATATCTAAATAGGGTAACACACACAAAATGATAAAAATTAATAATAAATACTTACATATTCACAAAATAATAATGTACAACACAGTTTATTATTATCAACTTACTTTTCTTTGATATTATTAACTTACGACATGAAATGCTTTGAAGCTTAGCTTCGGATTACAAAGGCTTATATACAAGTAACATTTTACGCAAGACGAACGATTATATTTTTTGTTCTAGACGATAAGGCAAGATACTCGTAAGTATGAACTTTAGTTGTTCTATGTTTATCACTGAATGATATATATGATAGCTCTCTTTTATATATTTAAATTTGCATAAGATTCATCACAAGTCGACAAAATACATCTTAATATTACGATTATTGTCTCTAAATTATCTCAAGAAAATAGGTACGTCCTTTTAATATAAATATATAAAAAAGATATCATAAAGAAACATAAACATACAGTGTCAACAATCAAAGTTTAGACTTACGACAAAATTTTCCTATCAAACAAAAATTATAATTATTCGATTGTCTCATACAATGTGTTTTCTGCTGATTTTATTCTGCTAAATGTTAAATCTAATTTTACGCTAAAATTTAAATATCGAATGCAATCAGTATTTGCGCGATTGTGCGAGCAATATCGTTGCATTTGTTATATCCTAAAATCCTGCATATAAATAGTTTCTCTCTCTATAAAAAATTTTATACAACATGAAATTTTGCAACCTTTCTCGTTTATAAACCAAGTCGTAAAATCAGAATTTGAAGTAGTGGAGAAGAAAAAGGAGGAGAGGGTGTCCACTCAGCCTGAGGAAGTTGAAGACGATTATGCCGAGAAGATTGAAGACGACTCTGTTGAGGAGGAGGAGGATGCCTCCATAGCTTGCGAGGAGAGTCAAATGAGGTCTGTGAAGTTGGCATCCCCAAATGCGAATTTTGATAAAATTAACATCGCATTCTCTTTCTCAGTTGTCCACCATTTATTCACATTTGTCCACAAAAAAATTGTTGTCCACCCTTAAAAAGAATTATAAATTAATAAAGAATTGTAGCACCCCCTGTGAATATTCTTCCGAGTTACTTACGAAATTCGATTGTCCACTATGCGTTTGTCCATCCATAATTTTCTTTTTTTGTCCATCTTTCAAAAGAAAGTTGTAAACAAATTAAAGTTAAACAATTCGTCACTGCACACGTAAGTGCGTTTACTTCATTATTAGATACGGGATTCGATTGTCCATCCATAATTTTCTTTTGTCCACCTTTCAACAAAAAAAGTTCTAAACAAATTCTCACGGTTCAAAGGTATTGATGTGTATTTGGTGGGATCAAGAAGGTGTTGTATACTATAAACTGTTAAATCCGAAAGAAACTGTCATCGTTGATTATCAACGACAACAAATATACAAATTGAAGCAAGCATTAGATCAAAAACGATCTGTAATTGCCAGTAAACGATGTAAAGCGATCCTTTTTCACGCGACAATGCTCGACCTCAGGTTGCATTATCAGTGAAGCAAATGCTATTAGAGCTGGAATGGGAAGTCTTATCGCACCCTGCGTATTCTCCAGACATTGCAAAATATATACACACTTTCATAATTTTAAAGCTGTGTGAAAATTTGTTAAAAGTTGAATCAACTTCAAAGAAGAATCTTCTTATCGCTGCGGAATCCACTTTTTGCCAGAAAGATGAGAAAAATTTATATAAAACGGAGGAAAATATTTTGATTAAGCTATTTGTTCATTATCTTGTTTAAAAAAATCAGTTTTTGGGAAAAGAAATCCTGAAAAACTAAATCGCACACCTATATAATGTAACCCTAATTTATTACATACAAAGTATTAAAGAAACTGATTTATGTTTTTATTATTAATATAAATTAATGATTTTATTGTTAATTTAGTACAATAAATTTACTATTTTTAAAATAAAAATTTAGAACTCTTTCTTTTCAATAAAGAGAAACATAATGTACAACATATGCTCCTTAGTCTGCGGAAATTAAATCAAAGATTCACATTTCTATAAAGTGTCGGAGCCGACAAAGGCAGCGACGACGGTGCCGATAATTAGCGGGTTGGTTGGTAGACAAACATTGGTTGCGTTTCAGTGGTACCTACGTAAGCGAAACATGTGTTTCCAGAGTGACAGTGACATTCATCACGCGTTTGAACACGCCCACTTCGAGCCACGTAGTGACGTTTACTTTTTAACTTACCTTTTTTTCAAGGTTTCTTAAATTTGTATTTGTTCTATACAAGAACATCACACATACTCGTGCGATATTTTGTGCAATACATTATTTGCCATTTTTCGTATATTGCTAATTAATACCTAAATTTTAAGCGGAATCGTAAAGCGCCCGTAACATATTCTCGTATGGCTTATAAGAACTTTTAAGTATTTATACTTTTATATAATATCTTTATTGACAGTTTCTTATTACTAACCATAAGATTTACGAGAAATCGTAAATATTTGCTAATAATCCTACGTCTTACGATACATACACATAAGATTAGAATACTAGTCATATAAGTTCTTACAAGTTTTACGAGAACAAATTATACGGGACTGATGATTCTGTTTAGGACTGATAAGTATTATGTTTGCGTATTCATAGATTTATCATCGAAAGATTTAACTAAAGTCATATACTTATAATATCAAAAAAATTAAAATTTATTGCAAATGTGTTAATTTTCCTTTAAGTTTAATATTTTTATTAAAGAAAATATTTTAGAAATAAGCTCTATTTATTAAAAATTTATCAGCGAAATCTTTAACTGAATCATTAATTTTTTTAGTTAAATTAAATCTTTCCTAAGTCATTTATTTCTTTTACAAAATTTTTTTCTAATGAATGAAATAATGCTTAAACATTTTTTAGCATTGTTTATAAAAGTTTTTTATTTCAATGTTGAATAATTCGGTGAAGACAAATCGTTACAGAGCTTAAAAATTAACAAATTAAAGATAAAGTTTCTCTCTTTTAAATAATGTAAAACACATTTATGTATAAATTTTTAATTTTCACTATAGAACCCCGCAATTTCGTAAAAAACATTGAGATTTTATGCATCTTAATTCATTTATGTTTATATAACTCCATGAAATATCAGTAAGATTGTGTTTTAAAGTACCGATCTGAAAAGAGTCAGATTTTGATTCTATAAAATACTTTTTTAAATATCTTGAAATAATTATTTTTGACGAAGATCTTCTATTTCAAAAATTGCTTATTTTTACGGGATGGAACAGATAATCCTTTAATTTTGTTGTGTATTTAATAATATTTTGTATTAAATATTATTTATAAAATATTAACGAATTGTGGTGAAATCTTAATCAAATATAATGAGATTTTAATAAACTGCAATAAAATCTTAATGAAATTTTAACAAATTGTAATAAAATTATAATGAAATAATACTAATAATAATGAAAATGAAATTGATGCAGATTTTAATATGAAGTTCATTAATATTTCATCATTATTCGATATAAATAATTCTGGAAAAAATTTCTATCAGGGCAATCATAAATTTTTATAGATATAACGATAAATTCGTGATAATAACTGTACGTATCATGTTTTTAAATTTATTTCATGTAATTATATTTTAATTTTCCCCGGACGGGTTCCCGCCTTGTAGTAGCCATAAAGCTGGGTTTCGCGGATTGCGGGGCGCTTAAGATGCACATTTGAATGTCTCACAGTGATAGAGCAGGAAGCTTAATTTTGACTTATTGACACAGGTACGAAATTTCTCAAACAATCTGATGAGGTCAAAATTTACTACATACGGTGCTCGCTTGGCGTCCTCAGGACCCGCGAGCTTTCGCGCCATGGCGAGTAATGGGGCTTACGGCCATCTACGATAATATCCATTCAGGGGTGGTGGACGGATCAACTAAGAGGGACCATAAAAAAATTGCGCAACAATGTTATAACGATAGCGAAACTTGCGTTAAGAGTTACAGAATAGCCCTGAAGGTGTAAGTAGCTAAGCTTCAGGCATTTGTAGCTTTGCGAGAGATCGCGATATTCGTGGATCAAAAATAGAGTCGAGTAACAAAAACAATGATTTAAACCAAGTCTTTCAGGGCGGGGCTTTTCTTGGAAACGAACGACAGAAGGAGATAAATACAGCAAAGTCGGATCTATCAAAAACTCGACCTCGCTACAGCAACTCCACCAAGCGCCGGTATAGGGAGAGAAAACAGGTTGCAAGCTCTCTCTTCCTCAAATGTCTCGATTTTAGTAGGTGGGAAGAAGGAGATGCTGCAGCTGGTAAGCAAAAGTGTGTCAACTCGATGTATTGCACCAGTAGACTGACGGACAATCGTCTGGATAAGAGATCCAAGGTTGTTGTAACGATTAAGGGTCATATGCTCAGGTAACTAAAGGCATAATTAGGATAGCCCATGTAATATAGAGGGCTATTCTGAAAATAAATTGGACGCCGTGTGTCTCAGTGAGGTAGCTGAGATTAAGAAACTAATCAAGCGACGCATCCTCGAATTTTCCGAGAGTGTGCTTGCGCCTATCTTTACTGATACCTGGAAGAGGGATGGAACAGTTATTGTTAACTACAGAAGGCAGGAGGTAAGACATATAATCATATGTATGGCTGATTTGACACGGGGAATTGGAGAGTATCCATAGAACCCTCAGGTTCAGACCATAGGCAAGTACGATATATCATATATCTCTCATATGGAGAACTCACAACCTAATGAGAAATGATAACAAAATCGACATATTGAATTGATGTCGATTCGATGTCGAATTGACATCGATTCGACGTCGATTCCATTGTCATTTCTCATTGGAAATGGGGACGTAATCCAAGAGCTGCGAGGTGTGTGAATGTGAAATTGGCATTCCTAAAAATGACGGGTGGACAAACGATTCCTCTATATAATTCGGGAGAATATTCACATACAGAGGTGCTATAATTTTTTTGTTTATAATTTTTTTAGAGGGTAAACAAAAAATTTTTTTATGTACAAATGTGAACAAATAGTGGACAATTAAATGTAATACTGATTTTATCAAAATTCGCATTTAGGGATGCTAACTTGACAGACCTAGAGTTGCAAAGTGAGATGGTTATAGGAGACCTAGAAGCTATCCATTCCAATCAGATTCTACTCCATGGAGAGTCTCGAAGTCGCGGCAAAGTTTGCAAGTGATGCGATAAAAGAAGCGTATGAAGCTCTGAAAAACTGAAACATCTTGTGACTATAAGGTTTCCTTGATGAAGCAACAAGATCGAAGCACAGGTCAAAAAGAATTTTTAATATGGAATCAATAGTAACTAGGAAGCTTTTAGGAATGCTTAGTGTTGTTATAATAAAACGATATCCATCGCTAAAAGGAAAAGCTGGAGAGATTATAATGTATTCAAAGCATTCCAAAAGCATCAAGCCTAAACATTATCTTCAACAAGGACAATTTTTTCTGTTTGGATTGCCTTAAGTTGGTAAAATGGGAATTATACTGAGATAATAGATGATCTCTCATGCATTTAATGCTCATTCATATTCTAAGTTTTCGGGAGAAATTAAGAGGACAATATAAACCCAGGGAATGGATATTGGCATTACAAGTAATGTCTTCTTGTGTAATAGAATAGACTATTAAGACCTTTGAATCTTATAAGACACCACAGAGTCAGATGGAATATACTCTGTACTAGGAGGGACAAAAAGCTCTGTTACAAAAATGCTTAAAGCTAGCATAGCCATTGTTAGAATGACACTTGTCAACTAGATATAGTCAGAGTTATAAATACATTAACACTCAGGGTTTGTGGATTATCAAAGTAGCAGTTTCTGTACTATTGTAGAGAGGTCACTAAATGGGATAAAAATTAATGGGTTACCACTGGGGATCACCATGAAATTAATTTCTGTATTTATGGGGAAACATTTTACTAATCCTATTAATTTTGCCGTGCATATTTTGAGATATGATGCTAATAATACTTATTTTAGCAATAAAATTACATTAATTAATATTACAACTTTTATTTTTCTTATTAGTTATATTTAATTATTTATACGACATATTATATGTATATAATAATTATATTTAATCATTTTACAATTACAATGGAAAACTTTTCCCAGATATGAGCTTCATTATATAAAATGAAAATTTTCGAAAGCGCTTACAATAGTAAAATTAATATTGTATTATACAAATATAGAATTATAGAATTAGAAACACACGACGTTTTTTCTCTGCTTTGGGAAAGAGCTGAAATGTCTTCACCCTCGTACCAGTTAGCTAGAACAGCTCGCTGTCTCGCACATATATTTATACTTACGTACATCGTCACCAATACTACAGTATACGTGTAGTTGTCTCTTCTTCGCTAGATATGTGTGTTACACGCGTGTAAAATGACTGCACGTGTCGGAGCCTTTGATCTTGGCCATTTATCATTGCTTGTGAGAAAAAATCTAATAATTTACATATTCAGACCTCGTACATATATGAATGAATACATGTATTTATGTAAATTATATATGTGATGTGGATATATATAATAGTACAAAAGAAGGGTTGAAATTTTTAAGGGTTTTGCAACCGCTCTCGAATTGTTTTAATTTTACATTTTCTTTTTTTTTTTCTGTCTGTAGAAATCGAAAATTATTATAATAACGCCATATACCATATTACAATAATACATTTATGGAAAAATTGGTAAATTGAAATAAAGTGAATAAAGTTCTTATTTTTTTTATATCGATATGAAATACTGTCAGTTATGCTGCTTCAATAATTTATTTATGAAATTAATTTCAAATTAGAGAGAGAGAGAGAGAGAGAGAGAGATCAAATGCAGTAGCGTAACTAGGCGGGTTCTAATTTACTTTGTGTTAATGCGTATATGTATACGCGGTATGTGTGTGAGGGGGTTAGGGAGGGGGAAGTGCAACGCAGACGCTGCGGGTCCGAGGGAGAGGGAAGCGCGTCAACGGGGTCCCTGGTAGAGGGGAAAGGGAGTTTATTCCTTCTCTCTCCCACCATTCGCGTTTTCTTTCCAACCCGTTATCCTCTCTTTCTTCCACCCGTTGTAGGGTGCACTTCTCTCTCTGTCCTACTCGTTGCGGTCCTATACTTACCATATTATTCGCACTTTCTTTTTTTCTCGTTGCGCTCTCTCTCCAACTAAAACTCCCGTGCTAACTTTTCTTCTCGCACGCGATTTAATTAAATAGATATGATATCTACTTTATGAATTTTTAATAATATAATCTAGCAACTAATTATAATAGTATTTTTAGTTATGTAATACGAAATGGCCAAGCTCGCTTGCTTATCGACTAATTCAATACTACGAAGATATATTTAAGGAATGGTGAAGAGACAAAATAATTTAGAAAAAGGAATATATTTTTTAATATAATATATACTTATCTATCATGTAATGCAGCACATGTACGCAATATATTTCAAATAATAATTTTACTTTAAAATTATCATTATATGGTACATGCTTGTACATGAAACCAACTGTGCTCTTCTTTAAGCTGGGGCAATGTGTCGAGCATGTATTCTATGAATTGAGTCAATATACGCACGGTGTTAGTAAGAAATTCAAACATTTTGTGTCATATTAAGATAAAATTTATTATAAATTTAATACTAATAAATTTATTTTACTAATAAAATAATTTGTTTAATGTATTACTAATAAAAGCGATGCTACAAATATTTTGTATAAAATTTATGATAAAAATTCTATTATGGAATGTGAACTAATAGTCTATGGTTTGGATTATATATTATACATGCTGCATTACATGATAAATGTATATATTAAAAAATTTATTTCTTTTTCCTAAATTATTTTTTATCCTTAATCTCTTCACCATTCCTTTTTCATATCTTCGCAATATTGAATTAGTCGATAAGCAAGCGCGCTTGGCCATTTTGTATTACATTACTAAAAATACTATTATAATTAGTTACTAGATGTTATATTATTAAGAATTTATAAAATAGAGATACCATATCTATATTTAATTAAATCGCGTGCGAGAAGAAAAGAGAACGCGGGAGTTGGAGAGAGAGCGCAACGGGAAAAAAAGAATGCGCGAATAATATGGTAAATATAGGATTGCAACGGGTGGGACAGAGAGAGAACTGTATTCTACAACGGGTGGGAGAGAAAGAGAGGACAACGGGTTGGAAAAAGAATGAAGAGAGAAGGAATAAACTCTCCTCCCCCTTTACCACGGACCCCGTCGACGCTTCCCCCTCCCTCGGACCCGCAGCGTCTGCGTTGCACTTCCCCCTCCCATTACATGCACATACATACAGCGTATACATATACGCACTAACACAAAGTGAATTAAAACCCGCCTAACTATAAGAGCAAATAAGTACTGGTGTTAGTAATGAAGATGCGATTTTCATAAAATTTTTTTTTAATTTTTTAACGTAAAATCTTCTTTTAGAAGGATATTTCCCAATGCCCTTACTATTTGTTTAACCACTCCTATAGAAATATGATTTGTCGAACTTTGCAAAATAGGCCTCTGTTTCGGCGATGACCTCCTCATTCGACGTGAATCTTTTTCCACCGAGCCATTTTTTTTTTAAGTTTGAAAATAGGAAAAAGGGGGTTAAATCCGAAGAATATGGTGGATACAGCAGGAATTCATAGAACAATTTGACTAATTTAACTGTGGTAACTGCGGGGGAGTGAGCCAGTGCATTGTCGTGATGGAACAATATCTTTTTTGTCAAAAGAGGCCATTGTTTTTTCAGTTCAACATCGAATCGACCCAATAGATCAGCATATGTAGTACTGCCGTGAGATAATTTTTCCCTTTTCGAAATAGTCGATGAAGATCACGCCTGTGCGTAGTTAATGAATCTACGTTTCATCAACGATTATAATTCGTTGAGCAAAAATTCCTACGGATTGCGCTTAAACAGCTCCGCGAATACTGTTTTGAAATTGATAGCTGCATCCGCTTGTTGCTCACCGTGAGCAATCGCGGTGTCCGTCGAGCCGACGGCTTTTTCATTTTCAAATTATCAATGCAAAATATTGTACGTCATTCCGTACGACACGTCTACGGTCTCTGCTGCTTCATGCACTTTCGTTCTGCGATCAGCGAGAATTACATCGTGGAACTTTTCAACGATTTCCTCGGTTTCCATGTTTGCCGGGCAGCCTGGGGACGCTCTTCATCAAAAACAGATGAACGATCACGTTTGAATTCGTTGAACTAATATCTGACGGTTGTCATAGATGATGAAGAGTTTCCATAGACTTCCAACTTGTTTTTTATTTCTTTGCATATTGGCTGCGTTCAGTAGAGAAAGCAGCTTTGCAACTGTTGCAAAATTCTTTAATATGATTGGTCTTGCTTTTACTTCCTCATTAGATCTAAATGTATAAGTCAATCATATTCAAAAATTTTACAACAGTTGCAAAGCTGCTTTTTCTGCTGAACGCAGCCATTTTTTCATACAAAAATAAAAAGCAAATTACGGATCGATATTGCTCTTTTCTCGTTCTATCGAAAAACGTCAAACACGCTACTACAAATTGCTGTTAAATCGAAATTATCGTATGAATCACTCTGAAATTTTGTCTGCGTCGTTTGAAAGATGGTACACAATGATAATTCCAACTTGCATCAGTAACATCGTCTGTCTTCAAACACGAGTACTTATTCATTTATCCTCGTATGCTTCTAAATAATATTGCACCACAAAATTACATTAATTACGTTAATTACATAGATTATATTTTTCATTATAACATTAATTCTTCACGATATCATTTTTCTCATTTCAAGCAAAGTGCGACGTTTTAAATAAGGGAAACGATATGTATATAAATTTTAGACAAATTTCAGAGATTTCAGCAAATTTTAGAGGAATTTTCGAACAAACTGACGAAGGAATTTCAATTTAACTTCCAATATTTTTCAATATTTCTTCTGAAAATTCACTTTCAATGAAATTGTAGCGTAACAATAAAATTCAGCATTTTCAATGAAATGTCAGTTTCATAAAAATTTGTGCGAAATTTTAGCAAAATTTTTCCACAAGATAATAATATAGCAATAATAAATAATATAGGAATAATAATAAATAATTTGAATACATATATAAAGAAAGGAATTAAAAGGAATTTCGAAACAAAATATGATGGGAATAAAAATAATTAATGTAAAGATACATGTGGGAGAGTAGTTCCGCGTGCGGATTAAAATCAATGTAGAACATAACTGCATATGTAAGGTTTCATTTGCGTGTATTGTTATATTGGAAATAATTGGGTTCATGTATAGGATGAAGGCTTTGTGAGGTAGTTTAGGCCGAATAAGAAAAATAAGGAACTTTGCTACAGGCATAAAGACAATAATCAGTGTGTACATATGCATGCGCGAGTGAATTATTGAGAATTAATAACAACTAAATATATAAGATAAAAATATTTTGATTTCTTACATACGTTGTAAATTGTGCCAAAACTTTTCTTCAAAAATTTTAAAAATCATTCAAGTTACTTTGATGAAACTATTACACATACAACATTTCTTATAAATTAATAATTTGAGTAATTTTTAAAACTTTTAGAAAGAAATAAAATTTTTCCTTTAACTTTAACACCCTGTATCTGTGAAACTAACCTGTTTCGAACATATAGTTATATAATAATTTTTTCGTCTTGAATTTACATGAATGTATATGAATTACCCCTCTCTCAATATCATTTAGTTAGTATACATCCATGTACTTAGTACACATCCTGTATATACATATACAATACTGTCAATACTTATCCACAAATGAAGTTTAGAGTTTCAAACTGATTCCTCTTGGTTTAAAAAAAATAAAAATTTAATAAAAAAACTTCTGTTTGAATTAACCTTATTGTAATTTTGGAAATTCTAACTAATAATTCGAAACAATGTTCGATCATTGCCTCTTCTCATATTGTCTAACTTTTGTTTAAATTATCTATAATATTTTTTGTAAAACAAAACCTAATAGAATAATAGGTCTTCATTGATTAAAATGATCTATCTTATACTTTAAACTCTTTAAAGTTCAAGTTAAAAATAAGATGTTAATAATTAAATTTAAATCCTTTAAAATGAGGTCTTTATTATTATTGTATTTGTGCTTACTAATAATTTATAATCTGTGTAATAAAATATTAATTATGTTTCAGAAAACACCAACACCGAAATTGGAGAACAATCGCAACAATTACATCAACAGCAACAACATCAACAACAATATGGAGAAGTAAATCAATTAGGCGGTGTATTTGTTAATGGAAGACCACTTCCCAATGCAGTCAGATTGAGAATAGTTGAACTAGCACAATTGGGTATTAGACCGTGTGATATCTCGCGACAATTACGTGTTAGTCACGGATGTGTCAGTAAAATATTGGCACGCTATCACGAAACAGGTAGTATTCTACCAGGTGCAATTGGTGGCAGCAAGCCACGTGTGACTACACCAAAAGTTGTGCAATACATAAAGCAATTGAAATTAAAAGATCCAGGGATTTTTGCATGGGAGATCAGAGATCGATTGTTGTCTGATGGTGTTTGCGACAAATATAACGTCCCATCAGTATCCAGTATATCAAGAATATTAAGAAATAAAGTTGGCACAACGACAACTATGCATCATCATTCACATCATTCAGCTCACCATCATCATCATCATCATCACCATTTTTATGCAGCTGCAGCAGCGGCTGGTGCAGCTCTTTGTCCAGTGCCGTATCCACCGACACCTTATCATCCGACAGCGCCGCCTTCCATTCCACATCATCAAGGTTAGTACTTTATGTAACTTTTGATAATTTAAATATAGAAATTAAATATATAGAAACGAAAGGCTTTTCTACTCGTTTTTATATTAATTTCTTTCTTATCAATTGATAAACATTACGAATAATTTAGTCCAAATGTGCTATTCGTATAAAATAATTTAATGTATCACTTCATTACATATCGTAATAAAAAGTTTGAAAGCAAATAAATTTTATATTTTGAAAATAATATTAAAAGTTAATTATATTCACATGTGCAAAGTATCACTATTACAACGTTATTTAAGAACATTATATTTAGGACATTTTTACAAGTTAAAATTAATTTTCTTTTATGAAAATATCAAAGTATTTCGCCATTTATTTTTCTAACATTATACATTTGTACATTTTGTGATTAAAATTTAAAATCAAATTTTAAAAAAGACAAAATCTGCATGAAGAGAATTTTTCATAATATATACTTTACTGCAAAATTTGCTATTTATTCATTTATTTCAAATAAATAAAATATTTTTTGCATATTTGAAATATACAAAAAATATTTTATAAACTACATAATAAAAATACCAAATATAATATAAATTATTTTAATGCAAAATATTTACAAAACGTTTTGTAAAATATTATACTTTATACGGATCAGTTGCAATTATATTATTATATTTTAGCATATGTAATTTATTAAGGAATCTTGATCATTTCAAGAATTATAAGAATTCCTTAATTAATATTGTAAATGAATTATTTTGTTTGAGTTTCTTCAGATAGATATTTAAGGATTAAGGAGCGTAGTCTCAGCTGCGAAAACACTTTTACTACGTGCTTGAAATAGTAAATGCTCATGCAAAGTATAAATAGTAAATAAATATCCTTTAAAAATATATTTAATAAGAAAATAAAAATCCCTAAAAAATTTATTTTCACAAACTTTGTCAATAACACTTTAACGAAGCTAAAAAGAACAGACCTAATATTTTAGCGCTAAGACAAACGCAGCAATATGTCGTATAGCGCAAGACCAGCCGTGCATATATGTACCTTAAACTGTAATCACATTACAGATTCCCGATTCTGACTCGACTACTGACTTGGACTCCTGACTTATCATTCAACCAATGTACAGCAAAGCAGCAGCCGATTCGGACTGTCGATTCGAGAATAGAAATCATTCTATTCGATCGACTCTGAGTCGGGAGTCTGTAGTGTGATTACGGCTTTACGCGAACCAACAAGTTGCCGGGAAATAACATTATCGAATCACAATAAAGGGTAAAACAATTAAGTTTTATGTATGCTCAATCGATATTTTTCATCAAAAATATATAATAAGTGTTTTTATTTTTTCTCTAAGTATTTTACAAACGATCAAGATATCACGACGCAAGATCCAAACCTAAAACTTATGATCTACAATATGCTATTAAAGATACGTCATCATCATTGTCGCCCTGGATGCGGAGTATGGACGGTGTATTATTAAGTCTAACCATAGCACACAGAACGAAAGTCGCAAGTTGCAAGATTAGAAATTAACTTAACGTATGTTAATTACAATTGGTTGCAGGACACAAAATACAGAACGCAGAAAGTTGGGTAAATTTCAATTGTCGCATCCTGCATTCTGCGCGATAATCCTATATCCTACATATTGTAATCTGCGACCTAAATTATAATTTGAAATACGTTTTACTTGCGACCTCGTTTTACTTGTGACCTAGCTGCGTCCTGCGTGCTTTATAGATTTAGCTTTACGTATAGGTTTTAGCACAAAAGGCGCTAGCGATGTCTTATCAAACTATTCTGCATTTTCTGCACTCTACATACATTACACGTTTTAATAAGCCATTACTTAAGCTTTAAGTCTCAATCTGTAAGAATTTAACCAGTCGTAATTGTGAATCTATCTATCTATATCTATCCATATCAGTCCACTTCTATCCACTGCTGGATATCGGTCTTTTTTAATCTTTTGTATTTTATATGATCTTTGGAAAGAAGAAATTTAGCATTAAAATGCCTTAATTGTTATGGGTGTGGCAAGTGTATATACATACATCCACTGATATATGGGAGCTACAATTTTTAACGCCGAATTCAAACGGCGATGGCAAAAATACTCTCAAGTTCCGCGTGTTACATGTGCCATATATTATTTTTAACATGTTAATAGACAGTGAAGGCCATCACACGTACAAAAATTTTAGTAGTAATCGTAAGGTTTTAAGCAAATCGGCCAATCACAGTTTAGCATATTAAAATGTGAGATCGTAATCTTGATTGTGATTGGTCGATTTGCTTAAGACCTTACGATTACTACTAAAATTTTCGTACGTGTGATGGCCTTGAGAGACTCCTTTTTCTTAGTTGCGATACTGCGCGCCGTATATCATGTAACTTTTGCGTGTTCTTTTGTATTACTACGCCTCGAACCCACCACCGCAACCACTGCGACACGGCGTGTAGTTCGTCACGAGTTCTATATCGTATAACAGCTCTTTTTGATTAAATATTGATACGTAAATTTTGCCTTATCTTCCCACAAATAACCCAACACTGAATATAGAGGTGGTAGTGGAAGTTGAGTGTCGCTTCTCTCATATACATATAGAAATCTAGTGTTGAATAAGGATCTTTTAGCAAGGAATGAGGCAACGTGTGTGCAAACTGCGGATTGGTCGCGCATTCCAGGATATTTTCATGCTTTGAACAAAAAGTGCTTGCCAAATTATTTTGTAGGTAATTAGAATTCTCCCCTAAAATCTTAATAAAAATGTATTCATTCGATGCGTTTTCATTCAAAACGAAAGAAAGTTTTCTGGTAGAAAAACGCGATTGGCCTTATGAATCGAGTTATTAAGTGTTAAATAACTATATAACTTGAATTATGGTGACGCACCTTCTAATCTTCTTCTTCCTCGAATGGCGACACATCCAATGCGTTGTCTCATCCCTCACTAGAGACTCCTTAGTGTTGGGTATCTTTGCCTCATTTTAAGGTGCGTTCCACTTGACGCTCGCAACGCTCATGGAATCATTTCATCCTTGTTGTTTATTAAATGTTAAACAAGGACACAAATAACTCGCAAGCGTTGTGAGCGGAAATGGAACGCATCCCTAGTATTATTACTAAAGTGAGATAGATATACTCAACACACATGACTGTCATTCTCGCATAGTCGGTCGCCCCTCCACCAGATAGAGATGGTCACTTCAGCATGTATAAAGGTCACTAATATAGATATACAGATTCTGGACTGTTACAGTTTGTTTATCAATACGATCTCTCTCTGTTTACACTTGATTACACAAGAATTGTATGTCATTAATCCAGAAACACAATGAGAGGTACAACCAATAGAAATAGAGAATAAGAAATTTCAACCTATCAGAAACCATATATACTTGAACGGCTTTCTGACAGGTTGAAATTTCTTATTCTCTGTTCCTTGTATTTCCAGCTTTATTTAAAGCAGCGTAGTAAATAAAATGAAAAAATGTGCTACATTGCAAAAATGATATAAAAAAATTGACGTTTCCAACCGATAAGTCAAATCTTGATTCTATAAATCCTGTACCCAACTTGGGTTAGAATATGTTTGGCCACTTAGACACAGAATACCTCGAGAACAATGCACATTTGAGAAGTGTTTCAAATAAAAGTTATAGAGTTTAAAAAGATATGCTCCGGTTCAAGTTGAGTACAGAATTCATATAATTTTAAGATTTTACTATCTGTTGTTACCTGCGTCTCCGTGTTTCGTATTCGAGTAACTGAATTATAAAGTGAAGTTAATTGAGATTTATTATACCCACAGAGTCCGAGAGATTATGTATTCCATCGTTCACAAGACTAAATGACAGACTAACCGACTAAAATTTTCGAATCTCTACTAAGAGAGTACGAAGAAAGATCGTAGCTATCTAAAACTTAGAAATGTTGAATGGGGATGTACGTTTGTAACAAAAAAATTTAGACTATTGTGATAAATCTATTGTTTTCATATCTGCTTGTCTATCATTTTTTCACTATAATAATATATATATAATATATAAAAAATAATATATATAAAAAAAGAATTAACGAAGAATACATTTCTTTTTCTTTGAAAAATTCCATGGCATAGGACATGTAAAAATGTAATGAGAGAGGATGGCTCCTTGTCTCAACATCGTCACTTTCTTCACGATAAATTTTCTTCCAACAATAAATCCTTGTGCAATCAAAAGCACATATAAAGAAAGTGTATTTTCCTTATGTCATTGTGTTCAATGATATCTCAAAAAGATATTAAATTGATTCTAAAGGTGATACACACATATCCCTTTGTTATTGAATATTGTCACGCTTACTGAATGTAAGGAAACAAAAAATAAACGTTTGCTACCAGAATCTAAGTTATCTTAAAGAATTTATTGCTTGTATATTTTTAATGTTAAAAACGTTATGAATTCTTTTAAAGCTTAAAAGAGAAACATTGTTGGTCAACGTAAACTGTTATAAATAAATATTTCATTTCTTCGAATGCTCTTACACGGTCTGTATTCACTGCTATAATATCAAATCATTATTTGATAACAAAAATCATTAATTTTGTTATAATAGGATAAAATTAAATTGCAAATATGGTTCTTATTATTGTGATCAATAATGAGACTTTCTATAGATACAACGGTAAATTTGTGACATTAGCTACATAGTTTTTAAATTTACTTCATATACTAATATATATACATATATAATTATACAGTACTAATTTAGTCCCTTTTACATTTTTTTATTTTACCCTATTTATCTTATAACATTTAATTACTTTAATAACAGAAAATGTTAATTTTATTTATAAAAGATTTTGTTTTTAATGTAAAATGCTTATAAGTAAAATTTCAACAATAAATAACATATATATAAATATATTGTAAATCGTATAAAAAATTTCTTTTATTAGATAAATAAATTTTATTTTATCAATTTTAAGTAAAAGAAATTCTAGATTCAGTTAGAGTTAATTTCATTAAATATTTCGGTGTGAATTTACATATATACGTACATAGACAATTCTGTAAACTACGCAATAAAGTCCTTTTCACAACCTTGAAATGCAATCATAGATAACTACAATTATTATAGTATCATAAGATATGTATTATGTGTTCTCTTGAAAAACGATATTCACTCATTAGTTGCTGATCAAACGGATGTTACATTTACTAATTATTCGCGACAAATATTACCGAAATCGGCAAGTTAAACCTGCGAAATTGCATTTCTACGTTTAACAGGGTAATCTCAACGCGAAATATAACATGACGATTTCCTTAGAAAGAATTTATTATGTTGCACATTTGCAAAATTGTATCTAACGTGGTCTTCGTCACAGCTGCCGTACATCGGACTTACTGAGAAGAAAGTATGTATTTTTATTTATTAAACTTAAATCAACCAAACATGCTTTACTATTATGTCGTATTATTAAAAAAAAGAAAATTATTGCTAACTAAGTCAAATGTCGCCATTATCATTAATTCATCTTTAAAATCAATTCTGTTATGGAAACATATTAAACTCTCTTCGTTCGCTTCGCTGAGTCTTTCATCAAGAAAGTTCCGTTCATCGCTCGCCGGAACACAAACATGAACATAAATCGCGCGACGTTCAAATAAAGAAATATAACAAACTTAAAAAGATAACGCACGGGTGAAGTGTTAACAAGAAAGAATCTCTTCGATTTATATAGGAAAAATCTTCATTTTGTTGGAACGAAAAACGAAGCAAGACTAAATAATATTTTATTTAAGAGAGAAAAACAAAGAAGAAAAATGAATTGAGAAAAAACGGAAAGTTTCAACGATCTCAGAAGATTGTCTCGTCCAATTGTTTATGATACGTGGTTTTTCCGTGGAGTTTTGGGTGAATGCTGAGGCGAGGATTAGGAAGCCTTTTTCTTAAATGGTTAAACGAAATCATTTTCTTTTCCGAAGATACAAGAGACATAAGTTTAAGATATAAGTGGAAGATTTGAAAGATCTTATGGATTTAATAAGATTCGTGATGTACTGTTCAAATTCTTGTGACAGCAGTTAGAGGAAAGAAGCACGAAAGGGAATCCATGACCAGAACGACTTCAGTTGTCTGGCCGACAACTTGAGAGAGATGAGGGAAGTATTATATACGATTGCGCCTTCGTGTCCTGTATTTGGGTACTTAGTCAGCTGAACGAGGTAAAATTGATTGAAATAGCGAAACAAAGATCGATCAAGAGAGAAATTCGTTGAATCGAAAACTGTTTTTGACAGATTGTGAATAAAATTCCTTTTATAGAAACGATATTGTGTGAGTGTCATCAAAGTGTACGTGTCTTCAGGAAAATTACTCTATAAAGTACGATACACGCAGCGGAAAAAACTACAGTACTTATTTCAAATGTGACATTTTGACTAATGTTAGTTTTTTTAATATCACTTTTGCAATGTAGCATGTTCTCTTATGAGGGCACAAGTACGACTTCTATTCGTCCTTGCAATGAAACGAACAAATGGATATTGGCATTCTTTTACATAATCTCAATATTTGGGAGACAATACCGAATCCTGTATCCATTCGTTTTTCTAAATTTATATAATTAAAAAATTGACATGCCGTAAAAGACTCCCCGTTATTGGTGGAGAATTAAAAAGCTGTCATTCTATTTATTTGCTATTATTGCATTTCTAGTTGGACCATCATCAGGGAGTAAACTGTCATCGTCGTCTCCTCCAGCAGTACATGATAATGGTGGACATCAAACGACTATGAACAACTCTTTGCAATGGCCGAGTTCTCACACTGTACACGACATTCTGGCTAATGGTTGTAATGTACAGAACTCGTCATCTTCTTCACCAACTTCGTCATTATGTTCCACGATCAATAATAATCATCATTACAACCGTCATGATGATAATTCTGTCAACAATGATAATAACAGTAATAATGAAAATAATAATGATCATAGAATATCGGGCGGTTATCTTCATCACCATCATCCTCACCTAGCCCATCATCAACAGTATTACGCATCAGCGTTGTATCATCACCATCATCATCACCGTACAGATGCTGTGACGGCAGCTACTATATCGTCTACACTTTCTGTACAAGCTATTATGTTGCAATCAGGAACAACAAACCATCCAGCCAGTCCTTGTAATTAGATAAAATAATAACATTATTTTATGAATTAGAAATTATCGAATAATTAACGTTTACATTTTCTGTATATTATTAAGTTTTTCAAATATACTTTTACGCCTCTTACAATACTAAGAAGATTTTTGCATTAAAATATAGTTTAAGTAAAAATGATAAATGATATAGGATAAATTATAGATGACAGTGGAGTGATATTTTGAAATATTTGAATGGAAAAGGAACTTCGAGGATATTTTTATTAAACACATAAAAAGTAATTGTTTTTTTGTATATAAAAAAAATGTTTATACATCTGTAAAAATAAATGCATAAAATTTTTGTTAAAAGCTATCAAAACATTATAGATTATGAAAGTTTATGCTTATGCTTAAATTTTTATTGTTCCTTAATAATAATTTCATTATTAAGTTTCCTGCAACATTTAAAAATTATAAGTAATTCATTAATGATAATATATATTAATAATAATCTGCAACAAAAGTTACATCAATTTTCTATTTTTAATTTTAAGTGAGAATCATAAATATCCTGCGAAAAGAAAGGATGTTAAATTAGGATCGTTTTTCGGTCAAAATAAAAGAGTTCCGAGATGTACAAATTATATACATCATATTGAACGGCTACTCAAGTGGAATCGAATAGTATATCGCTTATCTTTGGGGAAACATTGGGTACCTGGAATAAATCGTGCTCAAAACAATTTTAATGAGGCATTTCTACTTGATTAAGTTAATATTCAGGAGCGACTTATTAATTACGTCTGTAATCTTTTTATTATTTTTTTTTACACTTAACCATCTAAATTGTTTTGTATTTAACATTGATAATCATCCGATCGGAGTCGAAACGTCTGTATTTAATTGTATTTATATTGTCATTTTAACTTTTATTTACGAACATTAAATTCATAATTGTCTTTGGCTCGTAGCCCTTCTCAACATACTTTTATTTAATTTATATTATATTTGAGCTATTTTATATTATATATTTTCTAAATCTAAGAATTTTAAAGTCGAGTTTTTTAATGATTTTGATGTTTTAAGATAAAGAGGAGCCATATACCATTCTAGATCAACGATTATACTAATTTGTACATCTCAAAACTTTTTTATTTTGGCCGAAAAATAGTCCTAACTTAACTTCCTCCTTTGCTATACAAGGTATGATAAGACTGCTCAAAAATATACGCACCGCTTAAAAGTATGTATTGAATTTTATGGCGTATCTAATATATTGTATCTATTATATTGCAACAAATGTAACTCACATAGAATTCACACAGAACGTGCCTATATGGTTAACCATCCTGTGTTTAAAAGATAGTTAATATCGTTGCAATAATGAAAGAGATACATTAAATTTTTTGTAAACTTGATCGTTTTCTTATTGTATTTATCATGAATAAATTGATCGGTTTTTACATTAAATTGTTACTTTGTGAATCTGTATCATCTATATTATGTACATAATCGGATTAAGATTTCTTATCCCTGGGCACTTAAATCGTTGCCCTATTCAATCCTTAAACTGAGATATTCCAAGTTTATGTTTGCAGCGACAATAAAAATAAGAGATTATTTCTGAAACATTATTTATAAAAGAATATTAAACAATATAAACTTGAAAAAAGATACAGAACTCTCGATGACATATATATTTATTTATTAAAATTAAACTCTAATAATAATAAAAAAAATAGGATTTAAATGTTTCCTCTAACTGCTTGACATCTATGTACATATACGACATCATTTGTGTGTTACCATCCGCATAGTTAAGCTCTGTCTCTATATTAAAAAGTAATCGACATCACGTTTAATAAAACATCCGTTTAAGCGATTATGGCTGATATTCATAGTCGGTTTTTATTTCAAGACCGTCTTAAGTAATGTCTTAAGACGCTAATGCGGTCTAATTGGTTTGTGAGATCTCAAGACTGAGTTTAAGACGGTCTGGAATATAAGAATTGACTATGAATACCGGCTTATATGTCTCATCCTCCATCTTTGTACCTAAGTATATTGCAACTATAATTTTTGGCTCTAAAACGTTGTATTCAGTATATCAGTTTAATTCCATGCAGCTGTTCATTTTTTTATGCATATAATTTAGACTTTATATGACGTCATATTTATTATTGTATGGGGTTGTCTACGGCTGATGAGGACTAACAAGTAAACCTATGGAGGTGTCGTTCACCGATTTTAATAAAACTTTGCAAATTTGTAGAACTATGAAAAATATTTGATACATATTTTTTTTATCGGCAAAGGTCTACTCTGAAGGGTGAACACTACCCCTTAAAGGTGAGGGGTAGATTTAACATATTAGGTGAAATAAGTTGAAAATTTTAAAAAGTAAATTTTATTTAAAATTAAATTAATTCTTTTTAAAAAATGATGCCTCCCTAAAAATTTGCCATCCCTAGGCACAGTCTAGGTTAGTCTGTAGTGTTAATTTGGCTCATCTACTGATCGATGATTTCATGATGATAATGAGGTCAAATAAGTTGTTACCACATGTTTGTCTCACAGACAGCAATTTTCTATAACGAAGAGGTACAACATTTGGTATCCCGCTATAAGTACATCAACAACGACAGCAACTGTTACATATAGAAAATAGTGTAAGGTGTATACTTTAAAATGCAATAAAAATTTTCTATAAGTATATATACTTGCTTTTTTCTAATCGACTATCGAGACTTACTTTCTGGATAACCTTCGTAGTTAATAAATTTATAGTTATGTTAGAGGGCAGATGAAAATTGAATCTTCTCGGATGAAAATCTGATACAATCAAAGTGTTAAACAGATACAATTTCGGAAGAAGGGCAGAAAATCTTCAATCCTTTCTTTAAGTAAAAAAAGGTTCTTTTTCTTCTTCTCTTCTTTTCTATTATTATTTATAAAAACATTCTGTTTTGTTTTATTAATATTCTGGGAAAAGAGAATTTGTAAAAAATAAAAAAGATAACGAGAACAAAGCTTTCTAGGAAGGGAAAGAGGAGAGAGGAGAAAAAAAGAGAAATCGCTATTTATTAGACTCTAGAACGATGCTCCCTTAAACGTAACAACTTACACGTGACGTATTCCATCATTGACAAGACCGACAAAAATACCATATATATGAAGTTTTACATTAAAAAAATATAGATAATAGAGTGTACGTGTTAGATGAATAATGTGCATTTGTATGTATTCCAACAGAGTATGTATCAATTTATAATAAGCAAATAATTGAATGTTAATATTATTAACAATTATTGCGTAGCAAATATTCATAGATTTCTCGTTTAAATGTGTCTAGGGAGATCGCCCTTCTTATATCTCCAGGGATCTCATTCCAGAACTGTGCTGCCATGCAAAGAAAGGAACGCCTGAAAAATTTTGTGCGATATGAAGTAAGTCATCAGAGGCTCTGGTGTCTCAAAAAATCGTGTTGTGTTTGCGCACAAATTTGCAGCAGACGGCTATAGTTGTTCCACGACACAGTTATATCATACACGTCTGGCAGGCCACGAAATAAATATGTCTCTATCTCTTATCTTTAGCCAGCGTAATCTGTCATAACATGGGGTTAATGTTCATCACGTCTTACTTGATAAATCTAATACAGGAGTTAAGAGACCTTTATAATCTCAGATTTAGCTCTCCTGATATATCTGTGAGCGCTACACAGCTATAGTCAAACAGGGACAGAATCAAAGTGGTTACTAGTCGAATCCTCAGAAGGCAGCAATAGGCCTTTGCATAGTTCAGTTGATATACTTCAGTTGATGTAGAACTGCATACATTTTTGCTAACGTTTTATTAACTTGTTTGTCCCACGAAAGTATATGTTTGAAATGTAGACTTCTAATTAGAATATCGAATCGCAATAATCAATGTGGGAGTCACCAATCGAGATCCGAATTCCGAGGTAGATCCTCACTTCTGATGCAATTAATATATCATATCTGAGTGTTTCATTGTCCTCGTCTAACGCATTAAAGATAATGCATTAGAAATTATCCAATTCGTAATTCTTACATTGTTTTCATTTACTCTTCTTATAGCATCAATCAGATGTTTCGGTTCTACATGGAGGTAAATCAACGGATCATCTGCATACAATTGACATTTGTAATGTACCAGAGCAATATTAAAATCCTTATTGTAAAGAATAAGTAGTAATATCGAACCCAGGACCGAAACCTGCGACACTCCCGCCATCACAGGCAGCAAAGCTGACATACCCCCCGTGATAGCATGTAAGATAGCATCGTATGATCTACTGTTATCAAAGTTATGACTCTAACAAGTGACCTTCAAAAAGTTTTAGGTGGCGGTCATTGATTGTTCAAAAATTATTAACGAATAAAGTTTAAAAAAGTAATGTTTTATTTTTAGCATATAAGATATTGGGTTGGGGAAAAGGAAAACATATATGTAAAAAGACCTTTATTTTACAATATCTTCGTTAAAAATAAACGAAACTTAAATTTAAAAAGAGGAATTTAACGCTTGAAATCTCTACATTCGAAAGGTTACTATATTTTTTGAATTTCTGTTAATTTCATAATTTTTACACATAAAAAAAAACTACGAGCTGAAAAAAATTTCTTTTTACTTGTAAGTCTCTCACGTGTCCAAACAAATTTTAGGAAAATTTTCTACTACCTTTCGTAAAAGCTTCAAGCTTTCTCTCTACAAAATTGTTTTTTTTTTTTTTTATGTTTCTACGATTTTTGTTTCTGAGTTATTCGCGAGTTACTTAAAGAAGCATTCTGAATTTGATTGCTCATAACTCCGTTAAAAAAAAAAAACGGATTCTTAAAGCTGAAATTTTATTTTATCGAATGATACAATTGCAACGAAAATTTGTTAACAAAAATATGGGTTGGAGAAGGGTCCTTCTACATATACGTAAGGACTTTTTCCCCAACCCAATGTATAACATATGTATGTAGATACAGGGTAAAACTGCTCAAGAGTGCGCATTTTTCTTTAAGGTTATATAACTTGGACTCGAGTTTGGACATTAAAGTAGTGCTTATATTATTCCTTACACACACTTTAAACTAAAAGTTTTTTCCAAGAATCAATTTAATACTATCACTTGTTTTTGTAGGAGATTAAGGGATGCTGAAGTGACCAAATTATGAAGATATTGCAGATTAATATAAAGGAGGAGGGTCCATAAGGAGACCTATTTCGACCCTATTCAAATTTCATCCAAAATCATGAAAATTTATTTCTTGAGGTCAATTATATTTAAGCTTAAACGGAGCGGTGATGCCATATTTATTCGGAAATTAATATTTTGAAAATACCAGATGTTTTATTGAAAAACCTAAAAAAATTATGATAGTCGTGTTGGAAAATGATCTAATAAATCTTTCTGGAATGATAGAGTTCTCTCAATCTTTTTGCATTTGATGTCGATGCTCTTATATATTAGAATTTTAACAGTACATTGCAATAAATTCTAAAAAGTAGTTTTCTGTCTGTTTTCCACTGACATTTGGATACAGACATTGTATGCGTGTTATGTGTGTATGTGTGCGTCGTGCCTGATCATCTATGGCTGCGTTCCGTTTCAGCATATGCGCACATTTTATATAGTAAACGTCACTTATACTATAGGGGAATGCGCGCATATATGCGTGAAATGGAACGCAGCCTGTTACTGAGGGTATGTTATCGACGATTGGTATTTGGCAGTACTGCTTATGCACGAACTTTTGAACTGTTTTCAAGTGTGAACTGTTTTTTTGAGCGATCGTGTCACTTTTTATTTTTAATATAATATAACTATACAAAAATTATTACAGATATTAAGTAAATATGTCACTAAATACGAACCAAAGGCATACAATGTACACTATATAAATACAGATTTACAAAGCAACAGTTAAATGTAGAAATTGATCAATTTATTCATAAAAAATATAGGAAAAAATAGTCAAAATCACAAATTTAAAATATTTTTTTGTATCATAGCAACGATTTTTTGTACACAGATTGGTAAAGCAAAAAAACACATTTATGTGAAATACAGCTGTTACAGATCTGATAGTTTCATTGGTTTCATTGTAAAGCTCAATTTTGAACGATGCGCAAGCTTGGGCAGTCTTACCCTCTATGTATATGTGTGTATTATTTAGATGTCAGAATAATTTATCAACGTCGTGTCATTAAGTGAATATATATAATAATATCCCGCGAAGTGATTGCAGCGTGTTGCATTTTTTGCAACGGAAATTTCGTGATGGCGACATGTGACGCTTATTGCCATCATTTTTGGTACAGGCATGTCCGACACCTTATAGTTTCTACGGAGGCGGAACTTTGTTGTCTTCCGGAGCTCTTTCCTGGGCCAGGGCTTTGGAAGATGGAGGATGCCTTGTTTGATCATGCATGTGAAGGATGTAAAAGAGGAAAGCCGCTTAGTTCACTTAGTGAACATTTTTCCCTCCGATGAGGATCATATGTGCTTTATAATACTTCCTTCTTCTCGTCAATGAGGTAAGTACTACTTTTTATCATTATAGTATTACTTGTGTAGATTTTAATTGCGGATATATGTACCAGATATCCGACTAGTATCTGGTTTTCAGCAATATGTACGGCCGAAATTTTATATTGAAATGACGTGCATCATGTTGTGAATACAATAAAGTGAATATTATGTAGTTTATATCCACTTCTTCAGATGGCAGTAGTGCGCGGCGAAATTTGCTGATACAGGGCTGCGTTCAGAATCATCATCTGGGTGCATCCAGACGACGATTCTGAACGCAACCCAAGATAAAGACTTTTTATTTGATCATTAAGATCCGTTTTGACTGAATGTAGGCATTTTATTACTTAAATTATTTTTAAAATTTAGATTTATCCTTATCGGTCCAAATTTGTATCACGTTTAATATTTAAAGCACTTTTATTACTCAACGTTTATTTCACACAGTCGATATCTCTATCTTATAAAAATAGGCATGTCTATTTAATAAATATCATGTTGTTTAGACAATTCTTCAATTTATTTTAATAAAAGAATAATTTTGAAATGAGCTATAAACGCAACAGATGTTCATCCAGATAAAGAAAGAATTAAAAACGATAATTTTCACAATTCAAAAAATATTAAGACGTTTAATTCATAAAACGTCTAAAAGACATCTTAAACATTTTTAGACACTTTGTAAAATCAAAACGTTTTCTAAAACATTTTGAAACGTCTTGTCTTGGATGACTTTTTAGACGTATTATAAAAGTTATATGAAAACGCGTGATAAGAGAATATATGAGAAGTTATTGAAATATGATAATGATATGTATATAACACTTATGTAATATGCAATTTTGGTAATGATATATCTGTAATAATAAATATAATATCTATAATAAAATATTTTAAAATCAAGACATAAAACGTCTCATAATATCTTATGCTTTTTATCAACGTAGACCAACTTCAATCTCAACTTATTTTATTTATCTTTTTTTAAATTTTGAGAACTAAGAAAAATTGAATATGTTGAACTCAAACAAAAGTTCGTATAATAAATTGATAGAAATGAGCATTAATGTTTTTCGGATTATAAAAATTCATTTTTTTTTTTAAATTTTATTTAATATTTACTATTTTCAATATTGTTCTATTTACACTCACAGTATACTAACCGAGTTTTTAAAACGTATTGTGAGAGGACCAATCGCTTCGCGAAACAATGGACGCTGGGTGATGTTGCGAAACGGATGACTACGATGGCGGTGGTAGCAGCTAGTAACATCTATGTCCGAATGGTGGCAGCGATGTAGTGGCACGACGCGACGAATGGAACTACCCTTCTGTCAGTCCAAAAGTCACCGCGTGAGCTTGCGGGTGGAACGCGACGTATGCGGTAATCGTGGTAAGCTATCACCGCTGCCACCGTCATTGTGCTACTACACACACATATATACACACACACACACACACACCATATATATTTTATATATGTATATATACATTACAAAAAGTACGTGTGTGCGTGTATTATGTGCACGCGCGTGTACTTGTCTGCCGCTCACATATCTATCTGACTGCCTGTCTATCCTGCATTCTCTACTAGCGTGAATTCATTGGAGTAGTGATCTGTAGTTTCATAAATAGGAAATATCCATTTCAAAAGGAATTAAAGTGCTACGAGAGGCGAAGCGCCAAAACGACCGATCTTCTGTGCTCTTTCGAAATGCGTTTGCTCTTGGTAAGTCTCTTGTCAAAGTTTGCCAAAAACTCGCTTACAAATAGCGGCGCAAGATTATTTCTTGCAAAAGTCAAGAGCTAGAGCGTGAAAAAGCGAGAGAAAGGATGTGTGTGTGTGTGTGTGTGTGTGTGTGTGTGTGTGTGCGTGCGTGCGTGCGTATGGTGCGCGCGCGCGCGCACGCATGTGTGTGGTGTGGGTGTGAAGAAAATATTTAAAAAATTACATTTGATCACATTGGTTCAAAATTGAACTTTAGTATCTCAGCTCTCATTAACTCTCTTATTATTGCCTTAAACCAAGGTAAACTTCTGCCTTATATATAATATTCTTCTATAATATTATATGTATAGAAATGTATATAACTCACGTTGCAGTAATATTACTAGTAATACGATTACGTAAACAAAATTACCAATCGTGTAAAAATTTACTTTGAATTACGTTTATCATAGACGATACGTTTCTTTGCCGAAAAATTACTGGTATACAGTTACAAGTTATTTTTAGGGTAACTTTATTGGGAACGGTATTACTTTTTTTTTATAACTGTAACTGTAATGTAATTACATTTTATTGATGACAAATTTTACAGTTACTTTTATCGTTACTTAGCGCACGATTAGACACGGTTCGATTGGAATTATTCTACACTCCTACGTATTATATCGGATATATTATTTTAGTTTACTGCATATTTTATAGGTTTCAGAATTAAAATTATGTTTTTAAGAAAAAATTAAAAAATAAAACTAGTGTCATTATTATATGTATATTGCTTTTATTGACATTTAAACAAAAATATTGCAAAAGTATATTTTTAGACTGATATTAAAAAAGTATCAGAAAAGTAATGAAAAGTCACTTTTTTTAATAACACTAACTGTAACGTTAGTTACTTTAAAAAATTGGTAACTAGTTACTTTTTTTACTTGGTTACGAGTAACACACACTGTAACTTGTTACTTTTAAAAAATAACTTAATTTCCTGACTTTATGTAGTGTATAAATAGCTATTGCTTTTATTTTTAAAAATATTACTATGAATATATAAATATACTTAATCAATTCAATGTTAGAAAATGTATTTTAACACAGTAATATACATAAATTATATCACTATATATAATAATTAAGTATATGAAATTTCATGTAAATGTAACGGAAGCAAATTTCAAGCAGGTACATTGAAATCGTTAAATCTAAGTTATTTGTAATTTCATGCTCATTGTGACAACATTGAAAGATTTTAATGTACCTGCTTGAAATTTGCTTCGGTGAAATTATGAAATTTAATGTAGATATTTTTAACAGTGATAAAATATGTTATTCAGTTATTAGAATTATTAGTTTTATTAGAGATATTAGATAATGATATACAGTAGATTGCGAAAATATTAGAGACTGTGTGATTTTTCTGTTATTTTTATGTTTGCAAGTGGTTTTTATTGAAAATATAGTTGAAAAAACTGATTTTTATGTTATTTTACTATATTAAGAGTCCTTGTATTCAAACTAATTTTACTACATTTATAATGAAAAAGTATCATATCCAAGTAAAAAAAGTAACTAGTTACGGAATTTCATTAAGAAGCACTTGCAAACATAAAATTAATAGAAAAATCGTACTGTCGCTAATATTTTGGCAACCTACTGTAGGTACATTTTGCTACAACAATACGAAACAATTCTGAAAGTATAATCGAGACACTTTTACAGTACAAAAGTGTGTAAAGTTTGTATCAGAAGAAATTAATTATAACAGATATCTTTTGTAACAAAATTTATGTTAATAATTTGCAATCCAGTATATTCTTTAAAATTAATTATATATTTTATTTTTTATAGATTACAGTAGTATAACGCAAATTTTGGTCGACCATACACCACAATCGTTTTTGTCTACCTCAATTTGATTTAATATTTAAAGTTTAATGTTTTATAAGTTTTAAATTTGATGCGCTTTAGTATAAATGTATTGAATGAAATTGTGTATCTAAACATATGTTGTATTAAGGAGTCTGTTTTATCGATATAAATATTTACACACGTACGATTTACGTGTCATCGACACGTTACTACATACTACACATTAATATTGCGCGCGCACATATATAATGCTGTGATTAAAAGTATTGAGGCTCATTTAAATTGCGCGTTTTAGACATATAGTGCTTAATGATCGATGATTGACAATTTGAGATATGATTGATTATTGAACATATTGGAATATCATTTGGTTCATGTCAATCGATTTTGAAAGACAATTTGATCATGAAACGCATCGCATCTCGCATTGTTTTAAAAACGCGAGATTTTTTCTTGACTTGTTTGTGACTTTTTGATCGAAATCCATACGAATTTCATTTGACAATCTCCGTATTCGCCTAATATGACACCGTATGATTTTTTCCTATTCCTTCGACTAAAATTACTGTTTCATGGACACCGTTTTGAATCGATAGACGCGATAAAAGAGAATTCACTGCGCGTTCTGAAGGCTATACCTCTGAAATCGATTATGAAAGGTACTTCAAGGATTGAAAAAAAAAACGTTAGCATAAATATATTGCTGTGTGTGTGTGTGCGTGTGCGTGTGCAAAGGAATTTAAAAGAAACTAAAGAAATTTAGAAGAATAATTTTATATTTTGCGTTTTATTGGACTAGAAACCCGATATTTTTTTATCAATACAATAATATATAAATTTTTGTAGCATAATCTCGTACAGAATTAGACACACAAATCTAATTCTCAGAATTTTACTTTGTTTCTTCGAGTAATCTTCTATAACTTTCAATTTTGTAAATACAGATAGAAATTTTATATCAAACAACTATGCATATGTTGTCATAACTTGACAGCTCAATCGGCCTATATTGGATTAAGAAATGATAAATAAGACTTCAATTTTAAAAGTGACTCTACACGGTCAATAATACTGTCAGTATTAATAAATACTAACAATGTTACTGATTATATGATTAATACTGATGGATTGATGTAGAATACTGATAATGATTTGATTCTCGAGTATCAGCTTATTAGGATCCATTATTAAGATTCATGTCGCAGTATGTCACAGTGCAATAGATAATATATGTACGTAAAATTAAAGTGAAATATAGTGTTAATAATACTAATGTAAAATTGTAGAAATACTGAAAACATTTATTTATATTAGTATTACTGATTCAATATTGATCACTATTATTGACTATATAGGGTCACCTTAAGAAGTTTTATCATTCTTGGTACAAATTCTATATTATATACTAATGTAATTTGTATATTTAAATTCTGGAAAAGAATTTTCAAATCTTGTCAAAAAATTACAAAGTGATATCATATTGCGAAAATTGTTGTGTTTAATCGATAAAACAATTTTGCAATCCCTTTATTATATAGCATCTACAGAGTATGCCCGTAGCTAAATCCGGACAAAACAGTTTATTAAAACACTATTTTATTCAGAAAAAACTTGAAAATTCACAAAAAATTTCTTTGTACATCGCTTGAGAGATCCTCTCTGAATTCTATTATACTCAATATAATCCTTATTTGCTGTAATCACTGTCTTTGCTTAAAGCGTGAGCACGCTCTCTTTAACTTCTTCTAAATTCATGAATGCTGCCTCAATATATAAAAAGGCTACTCTATAGTGTACTAAATTATAGAAAATTCTATTTTATTAAAAATTAAATAAATCGTTTAAACTTCCAGACTTCAGATTTAAAAACTAATCTTATAAAAATAAAAATTGATAAAATGTGTAATATTACGTTTATTTTGTTTACAAAAATAATAAATAGAAAATTATTAATGATGTATTAATTTTTCTGTAATTTTTTTATTCAATTATTTAATCAAATTTAAAAATCTTTTAAGTTACTGAAATATGAAAATCAACAAGACAATAAAACTTGTATTCAAAATTTAAAATAATTTATAATCCAAGTTATAAGAACTCATAATATTTTTCAAGATGTTTCTGATTACAAATTTTGTACTAAAATTAATGAATTACAAGAAAGTTAATGAGTATAATAATAAATATTTGGTGTAAGGGAGAACGGGACTAAATGTAACATTTTTTTGTAAAATAGGTTTAAAGTTTTTGTCAGTTTAATATTAATTAGTTAAAAATATGTATATGATATATCAAATCATTAAAAAGGAGGACGTAAAAGTAATTTTCTTAAAGGATTAATATACCTTTTCTATCGATTAAAAGTAATTAGAAGATTATGTACAAAGTTATATTTGTTTTTGCAACGAGATATTAATAATCCATTATTAAATTACAATAGTTCTACTATTGTATGTCAATGTTTACAAATCGTTAAATTCAAGGCTACTGGAGGCTTCTATTAAATAAAACTTCAGAAAAATATAGTTAAGGAATAAAGGAATTTTTTTTTATTAAAAATTATAAAATTTTTATATATTTTTTTTATAGAAAAGAAAGAAAAAGAGAGGAAAGGAATTACATTAAAATTTAGTAAAAGGAAGTTACCATACGGATGTATAAATAATTTTCAACGACTGATTAATTCTATACAAGCGCGAGAAATAAGTGTATAAAAAAGTAGAAAATGAATAGAATACCTAATTCCAAATTTGCTACATTATTAAACAATTATTCACTCGCGTATTGCTCGAGATAAT